GCTATATAAAAAAAAATAATAATAAAAAATATAAAAAAAAACAGCATGAGCTATTAATAGTGTTTGTCTCTGGGTTGTGTTAAAAGGAGAATGGATATAGGGATTGGGCAGCATGAGTAGAAGATTCACAAACCGGCTGCATTCATCATTAAACAGTCTATTCCCGAAAATCTGGGTGAAATCACACACATGGGCCGTGAAATAAGCAATCTGCAGGGGATCTCTGGAGGCCTCACAGTTACAAAGAGGCTCCCTTTTAATGATGGGCTCATCCGTTTTGGACAAGATGCCAGGACTGGATGTTGATAACTCGTTTTATGTATTGGCTTCCATATACAATTACCACTCAGTGACTTTGGTTTCACTTCACTTAGCCTCACTATATGGATTTGCTGTTGAAGCAGTGGGGAAAGATAAGGAGACTGGCTTGCTGCTATTACTGAAACACAAAGCTTTCGCTCTTTTCTACATTGATTAAACAGCAAGGTTTTTTTTGTTTAAACTATGTCATCACAATGCTGTGCCACAGAATATGTATACTACTAGGTGAAAATTTAGATCCAACCACCAGCAAAGATCTGGGTAATCTGCTGTGGGCTCCCTATTGTGGGTGTGCCTACAGAAAACACTCATTGCCCCCCTTATGGGTTAACCCACTGTCATTTTGCCCCTCGGGGCCCATGTTGTGGTTTTCTGTGCGAAATCTATAGTAGGTTAGTATTTATTTTATTTATTGTCATTGTCAAGAACAATGAAATTGCGTTTGGGGCTTCCATACAACCCAAAAAAAAGAAGAAAATAATAAATACCCCTTAAAACCCAAGTGTACATATTTAACCCAGTGTGACTCCAATGCAATAAGACAATCCTTAGCAATAATGTTCGTAGAAATTCAGACAAAGACCTGAGAAACATGACAAAATACAACAATGCAACCCATTCAATATTATTGTACTGTGAGATATGATATCAGATATGATAGTTATCTATTTAAGAAAGAGGGGGGGCAGGAGGGGGAAGAGAATAAAGATATGATGCACCAATGCAGACCAGTTCATTGCTATTAAGAAGTTGGATATGGTTATTGTCCGTGAGAGGGGGGCAGAGAGTTCAGGAGCCTCACAGCCTGTGGATACAGGCTGTTGGCCAGTCTGGATGTTCTGGCCTGTATAGACCTGTACCTTCTCCCTGAGGGCAGCAGATGGAAAAGGTGGCGCGCAGGGTGATGTTGGTCCCGCAGGATACTGTGCACCCTCCTCAGACAGCGAGTGGGGAAGATATTACTGATCTCTGGCAGACTTGTTCCAATAATTCTGCCAGCTTCTTTCACCACCCGCTGGAGTGCTTGCTGATCGGCCTTGGTGCAGCTGGGGAACCACACTAGAAATCCATACGTCAGAACGCTGCTGATGGCACAGTTGTAGAAGTTCAACATCAGAGATCTGGGAATGTGTGCGCTCCGCAGTGTCCTCAGGTAGTAGAGGCGCTGTTGGGCCTTCCGTACAACTGAGGTGATATGGTTGCCCCAGGACAGGTCCTCGGTCACGGTTACCCCCAAGAATTTAAAACTGCTCACCCTCTTCACCGCCTCACTGCCAATGGCAGATGGTTGTTATGACCCCTCTTCCGGAAATCTACAATGATCTCCTTGGTCTTTTTGGTGTTTAAGACCAAGTTATTGTCGTGGCACCATGACTCTAGTTGTTGCACCTCTGTCCTATAGTTTGTCTCATCATTGTTGGATATAAGTCCGAGCACTGTAGTGTCATCTGCAAACTTAACAATGAGATTGGACGCGCAGGAGGAAATACAGTCATGGGTGAAGAGAGTGTATAGCAGAGGGCTCAGAACACACCCCTGAGGGGCACCGGTGTTGACCACAAGGGTGGAAGAGGTGTTCTTACCCACTCTGACACTCTGTCTACGGTTAGTGAGGAAGTCCACAATCCAGTTGCACAGAGAGGAGTTAAGTCCCAGTTGGTGGAGTTTGGGACGGAGTTTGTATGGCCGGATGGTATTAAAAGCCGAGCTGTAGTCTACAAAGAGGAGCCGTGCATAGGTGTTCCTGTGTTCCAAGTGCTTCAGTAATGTGTGCAGCACTGTGGCGATCGCATCCTCGGTTGACCGGTTCTCCCTGTATGCAAACTGGTGCGAGTCCAGGGATGGTGGAAAAGCAGCTCTGATGTGTTTAATGACCAGTCTCTCCAGGCATTTGGCGGGAATGGGGTGAGTGCCACAGGTCTGAAATCGTTCAGACATGTGACATTTGACTGTTTTGGGATGGGAACGATGGTTGCTGCTTTGAAACAGGATGGTACCAGTGAACAGGACAACGAGGTGTTATATATAGAGGTGAAGACGTCCGCCAGGTCCGCAGCACAGTCTTTTAGCACCCGGCCCAGCACTCCATCCGGCCCGGCCGCCTTCCTGGTGTTAATGCTCCGGAACACACGCCTCAGCTCATGAGTGCTCAGGACCGGAGCAGGGTCGGTTGAGGGGAGAGGGGACAGGACAGGGTCGGTGTTCTCCCTGTCAAAACGGGCATAAAAGAGATTTAGATCCTCAGCCAGAGTAGAACTGTCGGCTGAGGGTGATGGTGTTCTTCTTTTGTAGTCCGTGATAGCCCTGATGCCCTCCCAGACCTGCCTTGGGTTTGTGTTGTTCTCAAACCTGGCCTCGATACGCCTCCTGTGCTGCTGCTTGGCAGTCTTGATGCCTCTTCTCAGGTTGGCCCTGGCAGCACTGTATGCCTCCTGGTCCCCGGATTTGAAAGCGTTGTTCCTTGTTCGAATAAGTTGTTGAACTCCGTGTGTCATCCAGGGTGGATTATTAGGGAACACACGGAATCGTTTCCAAGTTGTTACATTGTCCACACAGAAACAGATGTAGTCCAAGACAGTGGAGGTGTAACTGTCCAATGCGACACGATTGTCAGTGTCCTGCACCTTGAATACATCCCAGTCTGTGCAGTGGAAACAGTCCTGAAGCATCGGAATAGCATCCTGCGGCCATGTTCTCACGGTTTTGGTTGTAATCCCAGTGCTCTTGATCTTTTGTGTGTATATTGGGTGTAGCAGAAGGGAGAGATGGTCTGACAGACCCAGGTGGGGATAAGCCTGGGCTCTGTACGCATTCGCCATGTTGGTGTACACCTGGTCCAACGTTCTATCTCCTCTGGTAGCACACTTCACATTACGGTGGAAATTGTGAAGTACAGATTTCAGGTCCGCGTGGTTAAAATCCCCAGCCGCAATAAAGACACTGTCCGGGTGTGCTACCAGGCTGTTATTGATGCTGCTGCTCAATTGTGCTAACGCTAGCTTAGCATTAGCATCTGGTGGAATGTAAACAGCGCAGATGTAAACGGCAGAAAATTCCCGAGGGAGATAGAATGGACGGCACTTTAACACCAACAGTTCTACCTCTGTACTGCACAGTTTTTCCGTTACCGTGACGTTCGTGCACCAAAGGTTGTTAATATAGATGCACAGCCCCCCGCCAGTCTTCTTACCCGAGTCCGCAGACCTGTCGGCTCGATAGGCGGTGCGGCCTGCTAGATCGATAGCCGCATCGGGAATGGCGCTGTCCAGCCAGGTTTCAGTGAAAATCATGCACGAACAGTTATTAAAAGTCCGTCGAGTGGCGAGAGGTTTGCCCACAGAAAACCCATACATGGACTCTAAAGGGCAAAACTGCTGTGTTTGCACAACCACTTTGGGCCTGTGTGGGATATATGTGAATTTAATCAACACATGCAGCCCCACAGTCCACCTACATCTACCCACTGTGGGTTTGCTATCACATTGTTCATGATAAGTAAAAGTAAGGCAGGTAAAATCTGCCAAATCAACTTTAGTCACCCCTTGTAAATAAGGAAGCAGCCCCCTCCCCACACCAAATGGTGGCCAGTAATATACCATGGGACACATGGGTATTCGAGTTTGTGGACAGGGCCTCCCGTGTTCTACAGACGGCTGCAGACATGCACTGTTGTACCAGTAACCAAGAGTTTGTGTTTGTTAAATAGTTTATTAGTCTCAGTGCTGGTGATTTCCTGTTTTACTTTCGTAACCTTTCATCAGTCTGTTCCCGTGTCATCCGTACTTGTCTCCCTATGTCCCCTGTCTAGTCTTCTCGTCTTCTTTTAAGTTAACCATGGTACCTCCTTCAGTCACGCCTCCCCTTTTTTGTTCCCCTTTGTGTTTCCACAGTCCATATCTTTATGTGTTTGCCTTTCTCTCTGTGTCACGTTTGTATGTCTCAGTCTGTCTCAGTGTTAGTTTCCTGTGTTCTTTTGATAGTCCCTCATCCCGAGTGTGCTATGTTCAGCTTAACTTCTCTTGTCTCCTTTGATTAGTGTCTGCTGTGCTGCCACTCGTTTCCTGTTCCCTAAATGCCTGCATGCATTTATATATTGTCTTAGTCTCCCTTTTGTCATGTCGCCCATCATGCTGTGTGTTTCTCTCATGTCATATTCTCCATGATTAGTAATTCCATTTCAAGTTCCAGTGCTCTCTGGCTGTGATTTGATTTAATTCTGCATCTGAGTCCTGCATTTGGATCCACAGCTCTGACTGCCTACACAGTCATAGGACAGCTGAAGGGGTAAAAAGTGACATTCACTGGTGGCATGATATTCACCAGACCAGTAACAAAACAGCCCTGTTAGCTAATTGTTTAAAGACAGAAATTCATCCTAGCATGGAGGGAGACACGGGTATAGGATGGATATTGAGGCTGTATTATACATACATTATACATGCACCTATAGCCTCATCAAACCCACAATAGATAATCATCTTGGTATATTCAAGACAATCTGCAGGGAGAGAGGACCATTACTTCTCTATTGGAAAGAGCAAGCGAAGTGTGAGGGGTGGGGGACGGAGTTTAATCTCCTTTTTAAGCCTGGTGAGTCACACTAAGAGGAGCAGTTGTTGTTTTCTTTATTCCTGAGTGAAATGCAGAATCCACTGGGAGCAAGAAAAGCCCATACTGACCTTTTGTTAAAAAGGCATGCCTTTTGGTTTGCCTTTCCCTCCGGAGCACTCATGCAGGCGAGGCAGAACCATATCTCCCACCTCAAGCCACCCCTCCTTGTAAGAAAAAAAAAAGACAAGGTGGACAATAAAGAAATTGAATTTCTTTTCCTGGCTGACTGTTGTGACAGGTGGTAATTTTTCCTGTACAGACTCATACTGAAGGGAAAATATAAATGCTAAAAGCTGCGATTACAGAAGTTTCCATATAAATGCATATTAAAATGTAGCTCACTAATTGCCAAATTAGAGTGCCAAAAAACATCTCAAGTTAAAAGGGAACAAAGGACAATTCATAGACCATTTAAATTAAGTCTCCCATTTGTCCTTCTCAAGTGACTGAACAATGTCCTATCACAGAGCAACGATTACGTATCATCCATCAAGTGTTGTGGCCAAGCAAAGCAGACAGATTGCAAAAGGATGTAATTACCAGAATTCTCATTCCTATTTAACACTTCATTTGTCACTTCTTGTTGTGTAAGTGCCAGAAAACCTGTGTACTGCAACATGCTGTAAAACTGCACAAACATAAAGGTTTCGATGAGTTTGCTTTTGATGGCTTAACAAGAGCTAGCTTTTTCTCTTGACCTGTGCTACAAACAAAGTGGCTCATCTGCTGCACAAGTGATATATTACTTTGTTTAATCACCATATCTATTTAATTAAATAATATCGATTGCACTGGCTTCCTTTACTTTGGCACTCCTTTGCTACCATCTGAGCTGGCAAAGGCTTCTTTAAACTGTATAAAGCACAACACACAGTATAGAGACGTCTCACTAATAGTGTTGCTGCTCTTAAGCCATGTATCCTCTGCATTAGCAGGATTGTTTTGATTTAAGTCACACTTACAGGAGTGCTGAGAAGGGGGTAGCTATAGGGGTTGTCACTATACCAGTATTTCAAACTTGATACTGATATGCAGGAACATACTCTATATCATTTTCAATACCAGAGGGGAAAAAGACAAAATTAAGAAAACCTTTTCCCCCTTATTTTTCTGCTTTCTGGTTTCCTGTACACTTTTCTCAACTGCAACCAGGGATTTTGACACACTTTGACTTGCTTCAAAGACACAAAGAATTGTGTTATGTCTGTCTATAAATGAGCAGGATTGATATCATTTGTTGTCTAGATCTAAAATTAAAGTTAGCTTTTTGTTATTAGCCACAGCTGCTACCGTAATGATAACAGAAGGCTAATGCAGGTAATTGCTAATAGCTAAACTAATGTTCACCATTGTGCTGACAAGGTTAACATTTATGATAATTGTTTAATATTTCAATGTTATTAAAACAGGAACTTTAATGACCTTATGCAAATTTTCATGAAGACTGATTCACCAGGTTTACAGTGCTGCTGTTTATGTGTATAGCTGCTAGTAGTGGAGAGGAGAGGCTGTGTGCTGTAGAGCAGTGTGAAGTTGTGCGTCAGCTGAAGGAGGTGAAGACTTGGTATCAGTATTCCTGCAAATGAGTATCTAATGCAGTATTTTTTAGTATCAATTAGTACCAGAGTATCAGGGTTTTTTGACAAACTGCTCGATAGATATACTGCCCACAGTAACGAACAGGAAAGAAAAAAAACGAGTACTACTTTGTTTTCAGACGCTACACATGTAAAGGCTAATTTAGATCATGGAGCCCTGCTCTAAAAGCTGACATAGATATAATACTGTATTGAAGCTGGATTTAAAAAATAAGTGCTTGAAGTTAAAGTTTTAAAAACAAGTTTAGCACCATCTTTCTGCCAGTGCGGACCGTTATGTCATGTGGTTGGTTGGTAAGTTGCGGCTAATAGACCCACATTAGCTTATGTTAGCTAACGAGTGACAGAATCAATAACTCAGAGAAAAATAACAATATTATAACTAAAATTCACTTTAAGGAGATCACATCTGGCCCTTGCTGCAACAATGAGTAAGAAACTGAGTAATTTACTGTCCATAAATTATGAAAAAACTATGAAAAAAATAAACTGTAACTTATTCCAGTATGGACACTTTAATACTTTCATATCTGGGCTGTTAATAGGAAGACATGACCGGTAGCATTCTGACTTTACAATAACACATCACATGTCATTTGACAACAGGAGCAGGTGCTTTTAAAATGGGGATATGATTTTGGCCAGGACTGGACTCCATTGTCCATCCCTCAGTTAGGCTGTGGTGCCAGCGGCAGATTATCACCGTTGACAGACCAAAACTACCTGCACAACAGAAGTGGAGACTTCAAATTGAAGTCTTTGACTGGCTAGCCGTTTTCCTCTAAATTTAAGGAAAGCTAAACTCCAACGTGCTTGTTTAGTTTATGCTAAGCTAACCAGGCTAAATATACAGAAATGAAAAATTAGAACAAGCATTTTTCTTTTCTTTTTTTTTGACACAGCATCTACTGAAATGAAATCCAGATTAATCCTCACAGACAGCTCATTCTGAGGTTTGCCACGAGACAATCTGTCTCAGCTGCTCCTCAAAGGAAAACCACAAACTTAATTTCATTTCATCAGTCTACATCAGCAACAGCATTCAATAATCGTGTGAGTGGCATGTCTTATTAGTGAAAATGCAACAAGTGGAGCCAACGCTGTAAAGCACTTGTTCCTAGCTCCTTCGACTGGAGCCAGAGGCAAGGCAATCTCCTCCATCGCAGTGAAAGATTGAGCCATGGCTTTCAGAGACTGAGAACACACTACAGAGGGAATCATGTATTCATGAAATTTTATATATCGGTGTCGTTGTGTCATTTCTGCCTTTTAACTGGTGGCCAGTCGAAAAAAGGTTGGTTTTTTTTGTCCTCCACCCCTCAATCACACAGCGTTTCCTCTCTCCAAATGCAATTTAGACGGAGCTGTGGTTGGAGGGCATTAGAAATGAACTCCTCAGAGGCCTTGCTTAGGAAATGAAATTGCCTCGACTATGGCCTTTTGTCACGTAACACCACAGTGCATATTAATGATAGGTGGCAAGTGGTGTGGCACCGTGCTACAGAATTCACACGGCAACAAAAGTCTAATCAGCCTTTCCACACATTCACTGTCATTGTTTGTTGTGTTCTCCATCTCTTCCCTGATTGATTTCTTATTAGCTCTTTATTGACATTTACTGTAAGGGTCTACAAGAGCCAGCTGATATTTTAGTTTTTCATGGGCACCCTATTTGCATTTTTTAAAATAAGTACATTCAGGAAAAAATGTTAACTTCAACTTTAATCCCGGCCCTTGTACAAAGCCAGTGGATATTCTAGGATCTGCTTGTGTCTGTAACCCTTTTGTATATTCCCCATTCTGTCATATCCAAGTCAACAGTATCCTTGGCCTCCATTGGTATTTGCTCCTAAAAGTTTAAGATTAGCCTATCTCTGTGTCCCAGCTTCAATAATGGTTGGTTCCCACGTCATCGCTACCAGTGACAGAACTTTATTGGCATTATACGCCTTCTCTTTCTGGTATTTTTTTATGCCCTGCGTACACATTTAGTCATTACCTCCTTAATGACTTTTTAACTTAGGCTTGCTGAGAAAATAATGACCAAAGAGCTACAAGCTATTTACAAAATTGAATGAAAAATCAGTGCCATATATCACTGGTGGCAAACTGTAATTCATAAACAAAAAAAGTGGGGAGACAAAAAAAACTAAATCCTCCGCTTGCTTCAGAGGATGTGGTTGTTAATTCACTACCAACATGGTTTGACTCAGTCAGGTTTCCAGCAACAATCAACGCAAGTAACAGCGCTGGGGTTTTTGCTCATATTGCACCACGTCACGACTGAGCACACCAGCAACTAAAGCAATTTGTCAGCAGTGGATGTACACTGCGGGAAGCTAATGCAAACCAAGCTAGCTGATGTGTAACATTAAATAACATACATGAGTTCACAAATAGTGAAAGAAAATTATCTTTGTAGATTCCAAACAAAATGATTTCTGCAGACTTTCCAGGAGGGGAGTGCCTCTCTGAATGTGCCAGTATTATGCATGCTGGCGCAGGAAACATCATTAATATACATCTAATTACTTCCATTTAATGAATGATATGTAGGTCGCCGTTTAAAATGAAATGTCATAAAATCGCAAATCACACTGATTGATTTCCGAGCCAGGAGTGCAAAACATGTTCCATTTACCATGTGACTTAATAGAAAACAGTAACAAACAGCTAATCCACATATTTACATGTTGCATGTTTTTCATTAAATTGACTGGATTTCTGTCAATTGTTTGTTTATTAGTTAACTGTTCGTTTCCACTCACCTGCCACTTCATTAGGTACACCTATTCAACTGTTTGTATTTGAGAAACTGCTGGGATTTCTTCTCACAATCGTCACCAGTGTTTGCAGAGAATGCTCCAAAAAAGAGAATATATCCAGTGAGCGGCAGTTCTCTGGGTGAAAATGCTTTGTTGTGGCAATAGGAGAATGTTCAGACTGCCTTTAACTAGTAGGAAGGCAACAGACACTTAAATAACCCCTCATTACAAACAAGATATGTAGAAGTGCATCTACGAATGCTTAACAGGTTGAACCTTTAAAGAGAAGCGCTACAGCAGTAGAAGACCAAACTGGGTGTCTCTCCTGTCAGGAAACTACTGCTAGTGTTGATGTGGGCTCACTAAATCTGGACAACAGAAAACTGGTCTGACGAATCTCAATATCTTCTGCATCATTGGGCTGGTAGGGTCAGAACTGGTGTGAACAACATAAAAGCATGGATCCATCCCGCCTTGTATCAATGCTTCAGGCTTCAGTGGTGGTGTAAAGGGTGGGGGATATTTTATTGGCACAACTTTTCCCTCTTTAGTGCCCAAAGTAGGAATGTTTCCAGCACTTCTTAATTCTTCATCTATGCCATGAAGAATTAAGGCAGTTCTGAATTCAAAAGGGTGTTCAACGAAGAGCTACATATCATTAAGGTGTACCCAGTAAAGTCCTTCATAAATATATATCTTTAGAAATGAGAAAAACCTGCAAGCTATTCAGGCAGGGATCTAGCCACCCTGTGTCATACATGTGACTCACTCTCATCACGTCATATACCAAACATCTTGAGT